TTATCTTTTTCAAACTATGAAGGACCTGAAATTCTTTGAACACCATCAGATTTAGTTGACAATAGTTCCAATTCTGAATTAAGAAATTATTCATGTAGTTTTAAAACAAAGACAATTAAAATTTTTAGTCAGATTGAACATGTGTATACTTCCTTTCTTCAAGAAGTCCCACCATTGAAGTATACAGATCTTATCAATATAGCGTTTTTATTTTTTTAAACATTTTTCCTTCTACAATAATGTATACTAAAGATTTAAATGTACTGCATACTGTTTTAGTAAGAGGCACACAAATTAACTAGAATATTAACATTATCCCTTAACTCCAAAAGTAAAACTCATGGTCAGGGTTTTACTGATAGTTCAGGGAGAAAAAAATTAATAACCAGCGTTGAAAAATAAATGAAAATTTATTTTTTTACTGAGTATTTATTATTTTACATGCAAAGCCTATTAAAAGTGAATCTATATCAAGCCGACTATTCCACCATGAAAACCTATGCCATGGGAATTATGAAAGCTCTCTACACAATACTAATGTGGTCAATAAATTATCGAGGTGTTTTTCTACAAATATTTACTTAACTGATTTTTCAACAAACTAGTAAATTTTAGTTTTCATATGGTTGTTGCTGGTAGCAGCAGCCATCTGGTACCTAAATTTAGAAGAAAAACCCTGACTAAAATAGCCAAATCTTCCAAGAAACAAGTTCACCAAAAAAGGCAATGTGTATCTCTTAGGTATCCAGAGGAATCAAAACAAAACAGGCACGTAATTAGTGTCCATCAAGTGATCATCACTAACATTCTATTGTTACCAAAGCAGTATGTGTCAGGATATGAACAGCTTATGAGATGTAAATACCTAAAAACAAACCAGTAATCAATAATGTACAGAGAGAATACCATTAATAGTTTGTTGTATCTGAAATACACTGAATTCTTTTTACTTTGTTACTGCTATAAATTCCTTAACAACGTTCTTTTCATAAAGCATAATTACCTAAATGAAATATGGTAAGATATTTCCCAACATGCATCAGGTCTTCCACCCCACCATTCAGTAAGTGCTGCAGCAAATTAAATGGTACCTATTAACTAGACCTAAAAGACAATGGCTAGATAATACAAAAAAAAAAAAAAAAAATACACTTTTGAATGCACTATTCAGATTAGACTAGCTAATCCTAATTAAGATTGCACTTTGTGCTACTGACACACACTACCATAGATAGTACACTGCTAAATGAAGGGCTGGTCAATGTCCATTTTTAAAAAAACATCTATAAGAACTATAATTAGATATCTACTAGACAAATACTTGCTAAAAGAACAGATATGAAAATTTAATATATTTATAGTCCTCATCCATATTCCTCTCACATATTGACACGTTAATGGGTACAGGATTTTAACATGCTGTGAGAGTCTAGCTAAGTAAAATGAAAAAACAATATGGGTTCAGGTTTTCTAGGGTAATCTAGGTAATTTTTCAAGTTTGAGAATGACAACCAACTTCTAAACTTCAATGAGAAATTTAACAACATGGGGGAAGCACCTGAAGAGCAAAATGTTTGTTGTCTATTAGTATTATGCTTTCAGTTAAATGGAACAACAAAAGTGGCACTAGTTCTCACATAAGTAATATATAAATTATGATCCTAGTTGATGGGATATCCTTTACTTATGAGAGTGAGCACAGGAAGTCAAGCTTACTGTTACATATTAGGAATGGTTCAGATACAATAAGAGAATGTTTAGCACTGACTTTAACATATTATTTTAAAGTTCTGACTCCTGAATGCTAGTTCTTTCTCACTTACTATTCCTCCCAATGAAAAGCTGGTGTTTCGTTTCTTATATTACAAGATGAAAATCTATGCCTGAATCTTGTAACAGGCTATTAACTAAACCATGAACAGTTATTAAATAAGTGCCAATACTGCATGGAACTTACTAGGCATGGACTCAAGATTATAAAACTACAAAAAAGATGAAAGATGACTATCACTGTACATATGAATATTGTGTAGGACATCAGATCAATGATCAAACCAAATGTCTTTCCTGTTTTATATTACAGTGTTAAACTTACAAAGTCTATTATACTGACTTGTATTTTCAACAAAGTATTAGTGGACTCAAAATACCACATTTTAATTTCTAATTATAAAAATCCAGACTAATCCAGAAAACATAAACCCACATATAATTGAGGTAGGTTTTTCACCTTAGGAATACATTGCTTTAGACCACAATTAAAAAGTTAACTTTAAAAAAAAAGAATACACTGCTTCATGTGTCTGCCCCCCGATACCTAATTTTCTATGTTTTAAACTGCTTGAGCCAGTGTGACAGTGCTAATCTCTGTATTTAGTAAATTCCCTTAGAAATACATAAACACCACCCTCTTCCTCTCTAAAGCTAACTGTAGTGCAATAAAATTAGTAACAATTCTAGAAAAATGAAAAATGGAGGTTTTACTTTGTAATTCTCAAATTAATGCATGTCAAAAATCAGGGGGACAAGTCATGTTCACTTTAAAATAAACATTGTTTTGAAAATAATATCATAAACACAGTAAAACTTTGAATATGCTTTATTATACCTTAAAGTCCCAAGAAATATAATTTCTGAATGGAACTAATAATTTCACAAATACTAGCACTTTATTGACAACAGCCAAGTTTTCTAAGGTAGTGCACATGTATTTACCTTTTTAAAATCTCAATGCTTTTTATACATTTTAAAGGGAAATTGTAGCAGATCCTACTTAATTTTTCAATATTCAGTGTAAAAATCTTTAAGTGATATAAATACACATTTTAAGGACAGGAGGAAGGACTGCTTGTGAACTGATTTGCCTAAGTTGTCAGGCTTCTGTATTTGCACTAGGTACCATTACGTAAAAAATCATTGTTGGAAATTTTCCTAATAAACTGAAGAAAAGGAAAATTTAAAAACAGCTCAGTCTTTAAAAGCACTAATAACTGGTATAACTTTAAAAAGAGAAATGAAATATTCCTTTCCTTATATATGGATTAAATAGAAATTTCAAAAACTTTACTGAAAAACCAGCACACCATAATGCTGGATACTGACAGCATTTTCACAACATCCAAAGCTTGGATGTAAAACTACATAATACCAATATTTCTGCAAAATACCTAAGGGTAACTGAAGGGAGATGAGTGCCTCACAGCCAAGGCAGTGACTGAGCCTGGCATACCACTCTGATATGTGGAGAGCAGGTCACTGTTCCCATGCTGGGTAACATTCTCCAAAAAGGATGCCCTTATGCAGTAATTCTGCAACTATATCAAGTTCGGTAATCTAACATTGAAATTTTTGGTAAATATATTTAAACATATGAAAACTTCCCCAGAGACCAGATAAATTATTAAATAAACTAAAAGGGGGACAAAATGCTGGTAACTAACATATGTTAATTCTAGGGTGTCCAGGGGAAGATATAGAAAGGAAAGAGGCGACAGCAGCTATTTCCAAACTTAATTATGATCAGAATCATCAGATGGTGAGCTTTAAAAATTCTATCCAGGGTCTCAACCTAAATCTATCTAGAAATTACAGCCAGGGAATTCTTTGTAAGCAATCCAAGTGATTCTAATGATCAGCCAAGATTGAAACTTCTGAAATGAGAAGCCAATCTAGGTAACCGCAAAGAATTTTTAGAATTCAACATGTGATATTTATCATTTACATTCTGTCCAGTTGTCTCACTTCCTTATTTTTCTAATAGTAAATAATGAAGGGACTTGGCAAGTGAAGAAAAAGAGACAGTAGGTTACCCAAAATGGATTTTACTACATTTAATTGGACAAAACGGTATCAGTATACTGTTTAGGATTCAATTATCAGACAGACATTTCTTAAATGTTAATATATTTTAAAAGAGGGGGTTTCCTTACTCAACATAAAAATTTAATATACAACAACTCTAAATATTAAATGATACTTAATAGAAAACATATATTTCTTCAAAATTTTTAAAAATTGTTTTTAAAAATCCAATATTAGGAAGAAAATCCCTTAAATTTGAAGTAGGGGAATAATTCTCTCATATGAGAACAACTGTATCACAGTGTTATTCTCCAAGTTAGAAATAAGCAAAGTATTTCAATACTATTTCTGTTTATGTATTGTTTTGTAAATGTAACTATAAATGTTTTAAGTGTGGATAAATATTTTGGTTTTGTTTTTAATGCAAATGACAATTAAAAATATGGATTTTTTTTTTCTTTTACATTGAAATTGTACACACTCTCCAGGACTGATGAATGAACTTTTTCAATATCCCATGTTCATTTATAAATCTTGAAATAATAAAAAAACAGTACCTACATAAGAAATTTTACGATGAAATTACAAGTGTATGTCTTTCAGAAGCTAAAGTGATTTTAAATTTTCTTCAACATTCAAATACAAAAATTGTATATTTTAATTTACTGTAGCACAATTCAAGTATTCTTTAAAATTTTATATTTAGCCAACTAGTACATGATATTAAATGACTTTTCATAATAGCTTTCCTTTTTAAAGATGACTGTTATACAAAATGGTGACACTCTATTACTCTAAATTGCTTAGAATAAGTTGAAAGAACAAATGACAACAGACAAAGCCTTTATGAGTAAATCAACAACACATATAAGTTTGCACACATCAGTAATAAGGCAATTGCTGGTAATTCCCCAAAAGTATTTGAATTCATGTAAACAAAGACTATGTGTATTCCTTTAGGGAGAAAACACACTACCATAGATAAAATATATTCAAATGGTTGTGACTTTAAACCATGTATTACTTGAATACCACACAAAACCAAAAGAGGCATAACCTATCATTTTAATAACTGAAAGATGTTACTTATTCGTGAAACAGAAGGTTGATACTGTTTTGAAATAATGAAAAAGAAGTATTTTGAAAATAAAAACCCACTGTTTTCTAGAAATAAATATACATACTTAATGTATTGCAGCATAGGAATATTGTCCCCACCATCAACTATAACATTCAATCAGTAGTTTTAAAATATTTTTTCCACACTGGGACTTGAATCTTCTACCTTGTTAGCTGACCAACAACTTTCAAAAGAGTTTTATTTTCCTGCTTTAGTTGTTCATTTTCATCTTCTATGTCATCTAGGTCCTTAAGGAAACAAAAAATGAAAATAACAGTTTTTTAAATAATTAAAAATATACTAAAGGTGATAAAAACACTTTAAAATACACACATTCAAAGATAATTCATACAAGCATTTAATTTGGAAACAAGGACAAGTTCTGAAAACAACTTTAGATGAAGTATGCCCCACCTGAAGGGAGCATCCACTACTCAACTCCTCATTATTATCATGATAAGACATAGATACCTCTTGCCAGATATTTCATTTTTTAGGAGAAATCAAAAATCAGAATTCTTTAATTGTGAATCTTCCAATTTTTAATCATTATAAATAGCTTAATTTTTCAGTTAAAAACAAACCTCCCCTTCCCCCAAATTGAGGGCTAAACAAAATACGTATGTGGGCAATATGAGGTTCAGGGCCTCGGATAACACAGCCTGTGTCAAATGAGGCATCAAAAAGATAGAGGTACAAGTTCTGGATGTACTCCTACCACCTTGTATGATCTTTAACAAGGGTGCGTGCTGGGAGGTGAAAATCTGAGGAAGTGATAAAATGGAGGCATACAGAAAAGGAGATCTGGAGCAAATAGAGTTGATCTGGTTCAATTCATGTTAGGCTTCTCTATAACATTTTGTTTGAGGAAAAGGTTTTAGAGCTTTAAAAAAAAAAGTGAAAGCCAATAAACTAAGTAATGATCCTCCAGGTTTAAAGTTATATGATTCCAGGTCTATGTTCCCTATGTTAATCCTAGTGGCATATATACAACCATGTGGTAAATATGAAGATAATCCACTCTAAGTTTTAGTCAGAAGAAACTATTTCAAGGCACAATGCTTACTGATAGTTGTAAAAGCACATATTTTTAGATTTATCCTTGTAATTCAAAATACTAAAACTTGGAGTAATCAGTTTAAATTATAAGCACGCTACTGGACAGCAGCATTCTGATAAATTTAGCATACTGCCTTTGGATAATTAGGCAAATGTTTTTAAAACGTGCAAAAATAGAATCTGCATTTACTCACAAACCAAATGAATGATGTTGGGGAACTTACCTGTTGAAAGCAACAACAATAAATATACAGGGTTCGAAAATTACTACAACTGAGACCTATCCAAGATTTAGAATTAAATAATAAAATATATTACTGTATCATTACTTGATTATAAACTCTGTAAAAGCAGGTGTTTTATTATTCTTTTTAATGCACAGCGCCTAAGACAGTGCTAATATATCACAGACTTCAAAACTATTTTCAGATTTTATTAAATCATATTCCAAAACCAATAGAGGAAGAATGCCTGTGTTCTAAACCAAGATGAAAGACTGTCTACAAAAATGGAGAGCTCAGAATTAGGATTTTGGAATACCTGATGTCAAATACTGGCTCAGATAGTTACTCCGTGATTACTACCTATGACCTTGAGCAAGTTAAACTAAATTTTGTGGTCCTCATCTATTACGTGTAGCTAATGCCTCAGGAGCTTCATTTAGAATGGATCTACATAATGAAGCCTCTTTATTTTCTCTTCTTTCATTGTTAGGGTTAAGACTGGATTAGGAATCTGTTCCCTTTTTCCCTGAAGCAAACTTATTTCTTTCCTCCATCTTATCTAATGTCTTCTAATATGCAAAACTATGGAATCTCTTCTCATTAACATTACCTAAGTACGGCCCAGCACTAATACCTGCTTCTTAAGCAGAAGGTAAATTCTAAGGCTGAAAGCAAGAAAAAGTTACAAAATAGTGTAATAGAGACCTAGTATAATGCTAAACCTAAAGTTGGAGATGGGTAAGTATAACTAGCTGGGGAAAAAAGGTGGTAAAAATACACACAAAGACATCTGGAGTGTCTTATGGCAAGAAAGTAGCAAGTTTAGCTCTTCACTGAGGCAACTCTGTACCAATACCCTTTTATGTGTGGTGGTGACCAAGCTGCCTCTCACCTCCAGACTGTAACAAAAACACTGAACAAATCCATTCATCAGTCCATCCCCAAAAGAACAGTATTAACTGAATACAATGGATAACTGGCCAGAGGAAATCAGTTTATAGAATGAAATGATGGTTCTCATTACCACAAGTTACCATCTCATTAACAAAATAATGAAATTACATAATCTCTTCATACATATGTATTTTCATCCAATTGAAGGGGAAAAAAAACTATGAAACTGAAATGTGTGAATACTTACTCTATTTAACAAATCAATTTCTTCTTTGAGTTTTCCGATCATTTCCTCTTTATCTTGCATTAGTCTCACAAGTCTTAAGTTTTCTTGCCTTTCTCTTACTACTTCCTGGCAGATATAATTGCAAAGTATTAATTGGGAAGTAACTGGTTGTTTTTAACCTTAAATGATATGTATCTGCCAAGTTTGGTGAAACACCCTAAATACAGGAAGACTTCCAAATGCATTTAAGTCACCTGGTGAGAGAAGGAAAAACCCATCCTAGGAAAGACCCAAAGAATTAGAGGAATACAGGAGTTATAAGATATATATATATATATATATTTAAGGATTTATTTATTTGACAGAGAGACAGAAGGAGAGAGTGCGCACATAAAGGTGAGCATGGGCGAAGGGGGAGAGGGAGAGAATCCAAGCAAACTCCTTGCGGAGCATGGAGCCCGAGGCGGGGCTTGATCTCACAAACCATTAGATCATGACCTGATCAGAAACCAAGAGTCATATGCTTAACCATCTGAGCCATCCAGGTGGCCACATATTTCTGATTAAACCTGTGTTTACACAATTCTTTAACAAATACTAATACCCAATGACTTACCCTCTTTAGTTTATCACCACCATTGTTTTTTGTTATGTTAATCACCATACATGACAGCATTAGCTTTTGATGTAGTGTTCCATGATTCACTGCGTGTAACACCCAGTGCTCCATTCAGTACTGCCCTCTTTAATACCCATCACCAGGCTAACCCACCCCCCAACTCCCTCCCCTCTAGAACCCTCAGTTTGTTTCTCAGAGTCCATAGTCTCTCATGGTTCATCTTTATCACCACCATTGTAATGATATATCTTATTTTTTAAACGGATAATATCCTGTTTGAAGAAATTCAAATTTTTTATTCGAAATACAAAGTTTAAGGGGCACCTAGGTGGTGCAGTTGGTTAAGCCTCTGACTCAGGTAGTGATCTCTGAGCCTCTTGTCAGCTCCAAGCTCAACGGAGTCTACTTGGGATTCTCTCTCCCTCACCCCTGTTCCTGCCCCCCCCCCCAATCAAATAAATAAATAAATAAATCTTTAAAAACACACACAAAGTTTAAGAAAAGGAGATGGCTCTGGAAAACTCTAAACAGAAAAACAATGGTCCTCAATGTTACTTGTGGTTCTACCAGTTAATGGATAAAATAAAGGAACTGAAATAGATTAATGGTTTTTTTACTTTTTTTTTTTTTTTCAAACAATGCAACACCTTTTTCAAAGAAATCTTATTTAGAATCCAGGGCCTTGGGCTGGGTTGACTACCTTGGGGGCAAAAGAAAAGCAGAACTGAAAAATTTCGCTCAGAATTTAACCTCTTTCCTACTAGCCCTCAGAAAAAGCAACCAGCCCACCTCATTAAACAGCTGCTGCCAAACTACTCGGAACTGGATCCAAACTCATGTGGAACTGTAAAAGCCTTTCTAAAGAAACCCTTTAAACCGATTAGACGATGTATTCCTTAAAGTTTTTAAAATTTAAACTCACAGAAACTGGTATTAAAGCTGAGATATGAACTAAAAACAATCATACTGCTATAAAAATTTTTTAATTAAATTTCTACTTAATCTTTGTATCACAGAGAATAATTTCAATTCAGCAATACAAAACATATTTTCAACAATCAGAAAGTAATCAGCACCATTACCAACTTTACATATTAAATGTTGACAGAAAAAAACCTGAGACTATATGGTTAATATATTTACGCCAATATTCATTTGCCTTGTTGTTCTCAAATACACTCCTAAATAGGTTTATTCTGACAACTGTTTCAAACACCAAAGAGGGCTCTAAGCTCTAACCAGAACCCAGAAGAAAGTCTACAAATGATAAACTATACAGATAATATAATAAACACACAGTAGGACATATTGCCAGCACGGACTTATAGCCATTTCAAACACAAAGACTGTCTTTAATATGTTAGAGGTAACACGTAGCAGAATGGGAGTATCCATTAAATATTAAGGAATACAAGAATTGGCTCCATTTCTAAAAGTTTCAGAACTGCATAGAAAGTATTAAGGGAATCAGAAAATGCCTAGCCACAATGTATCTGGAAAATATATACTTAAGACAGTGATTTAAAACTGCAACTTGACTAAATATGGAAATACCAATTAGTACTAATGGTATCTTCCACTAGCATCTCTCATTCTTTTCCCTTTGTTGGCACCCTCTCTCCCATACAAATTTCAATTTATTTTCTCAGCTGCTATGAAAGTAAAAAAAGGAATCCCAATGGTATATTAGATTTATCAATCTTAAATAATTTGTAATTCATACCTTTTCAAGATCTTCAATTTTCTTTTCCAACATGCTACTTGAGACCAAATTACCTGAAGCATTTGCATCCCTGTTGTATCTGCTAAACCCACTTCTATCTGTTCGGGGATATCTACTTGAGACATCTTCTTCAGAGGCAGTTGTGCTATGGAAATAAAAAGATGTATTTTATAAAAGTACCTAATACTCAGCAAGAAGAATACCAAGAATATTTTCTATTCACCATAAATAATTACCATTCCCTGAGGACACATGATTATAGTAGCCAACTCATTTATAACTAAGGAAGTTAATCATTATTCCAACACAACAAAAAAAAAAAGTTAATTCTTTTGACCAATAACTACTGAGTAGCTGGCTGAGTACCAGACACTCTTCTGGGCATGAAGATATAACAGCAAACAAAGACATGGAGTCTGCCTTTCACAGAGCTTTCAGTTTAACAGGGAACATAACGAATTATAATAAAAGCAAGATGACCATCACAATAAGGTAAGTATAGGGTACTATGACAACTGACAGGAGACTTAATGTAGATTATCTGTGGTGGAAAACCATTTTGTTTTCTTTTTCCATTTTTTTTTTTTAAATTCCAATCCATCATGGACCAATACTTTTTCTAAGATCAAATAAAAACTAGTGGAAAAACAAAAGTTAAAAAGGCCATATAAAATACAAGTTCAATGTTTTATTAGCCATGCCCATAAAATTTTATTTCAATAATATAATTAGAATGAACAGAAAAAAGAATTACATAAAATTGTTTACTTTCATTGAAGTGTGCATATAAGCAATCACAGAAAACAGACATCACACTAATCATTTCATAATTTTATTTAACCCAAAGTGAGGACTAAATGGCAATTCTTCATATTAAACACCAATTCACATTCCCTGAACTAATAGCACATGTGTTAATATTTAAAGTTTTTAACATAAGTGAGTTTGTTTCTTGTTTTTTTCTTTTTTTTTTTTTGTATTACTTACCTATTACTGCATTAAAAGTTACACCAAAACTCAGTGGCTTAAAACAACACATACTTATCATCTCACAATTTCTGTTGGTTAGGAATCTGGAAGCAGTTTAGCAGGGTGGTTATGTTTCAAGGTCTTTTATGAGGTTTTGGTGAGGACTACAGTCATCTGAAGGCTTGACTGGTCTAGAGAATCTGCCTTTGAGCTCACTCACATGGCTGATGGCAAAAGGCTTCAGTTTCTAACTGGCTGTTCACCAAAAGCCTTAGTTCCTCAGTATGTAGGCCTCTCCACTGGGCTGTTCACCACATGAAAGCTGGTTTCCAGAGACAGACAAGACAGACACTGCATTATCTGCTATGACCTAATCTTATAAGTGACATACTATCACATCAACCCTATATATACTGCAGTGTGGAAGGGGATTACAAAGATGTAAATACCAGGAGGTAGGGCATCCTGGGAGCTCTCTCAGAGGCCGGCTACCACATTTGCTAAATGACCTATACTAGGTTAGACTGATGACAATGCCACCTATGAGGGATAAGGTATATCTTATCTATGTATTATCTATCTAACTACTTCTATGTATTCTTTTAATAGCACCCATAACAGAAAAACTAGTTTCATAGATGTATGTTAACAGGAATTGAAGATATTTTAAATAAAGCAATTTCAGCTCAGGATAGTAATTTTTAACTTTTATCCAAAATCCAGAAAATGATGCTTTTTAAAATTTGTCTTCAATCCTTCATTGGTAGCCAATATCAATAATTTATCCATCAAAACTATAGTTCAATCCACAATAGTTTTTTATGAAAAAAATGGATTCCTGAGCTATTAATTTCCTATGTACTGGCTTTCTTTTGATAAAAAATAAGATTCAAAGTGTGTCTTATGAAATTTGTAAATCTGACAAACTTCTTACCAAGTTTGTCTTATCAGTTTGATTTTAACATTTTATAAATGCGCACTACAAAAATCATCAACTACTTACTGATAATTGTTACTGTGAAACCCATCATAACAATCTGTGGAACTTTTTCCCAAAATTTCTAACTTTCATTTTTGTCCTTTGATATTATATAACATTAAAAACATCTGACATTCTTTCCTTGCATGGAAGGCTAAGATCATTTTTTAAAAAGTATAAGGCTATCGGACAAATAAGTCTAATTCACATATTTAAAAAGTTTGGGAACCAAACTGGTTCCTTATCTTGCAAAAACACTAAGCATTCATCCCAAAGTTCAAACACTTTTGTCTGACCATCTGCCTTTCAAAATTATTGTATTCCTTAGCATATGGTAACAGTTGACTGGCTCAGCTTCCAAACTATCATTTTTTTTTTAATCTCAAATTTAATGCATTAGTGTTTAAGCAATTCACACTTTTGTGAACTACTGTTAATTTAGGTGATATAGAAAGCACAGTTTAGTTCAGCTGATAATAGCAAGACTTTCTCAATGAAAGAAGCAGGACATTGATTTATATTATGGCACAAGTTCCAGCATGTTTTTCTTGTCACTATCTCTCTATAACCAGAACATACTCCTACAAAAGCAAAACAAAACTCCAGACCACATTTGTTGATTTGTTAACCCTTCAAAGTTTTACATAATTCATAGTAAGTTGTGTTTGTCAGCAAGGAAGTTGAAAAATAAATTCTGCCTTCATATCACTGTCATATTAACAAAATTAACGTGTTCATCAAATTGTAACAAAAATTCCTTTCCTATCTTTATATGTCTAAGAGTCAGTCTTCTGTATCACTAACCTGTTCCTAAATATATCAAGCTATGGTGTTGTCAGAAAGTATTACATTAACTATCTTCTTTACAACGGATTTATCCAACATTTCCAAACAACTTTGTCTTTTCATTTGTGTGTAGTTGTTTTTAATGTTAGCAACATGATAATGAGACTTTTAAAGAAACTAAAAAAGCCCTAATGATTACATAAGAAAATCCTGAAGATCCGCTTCTGCCAGCTTAACTGTAATATTCCTTCTTTCAAATAATTCATTTGTGGTTGTGAACGTACTTATGTAATACATATAAATGCCACTTAAATTTTGATGGTATTATTGTCGTAGCAGCCAGTACATCACTGCAAATAACCCACTGTGGTTTTAGCACTTCCCCATCAATTATGGGTAAAAATTGGACTCAACACAGGCATTCCTCAGAGATACTTTGGGGTTTGGTTCCAGACCACCACAATGAAGCAAGTATTGCAATAAAGAGAGTCAAATGAATTTTTTGGTTTCCCAGTGCATATAAAAGTTATGTTTACAACAGACTATTTTTTAAATTTTATATAACTAAAAAATGTTAGTAAGTTTTTTTTTAATTTTTATTTAAATTCTAGTTAGTTAAAATACAGTTCAATATTGGTTTCAGGAGTAGAATTCAGTGATTCATCACTTACATACAACACCTGGTGCTCATCATAACAAGTGCCCTCCTTAATCCCCATCACCCATCTAGCCCATCCCCCACCCACCTCCCTCCCTCAACCCTCAGTTTGTCCTCTTATCATTGAGTCTCTTATGGCTTGTTTCCCTCTCCTTTTTTCTTTTCCCCCTTCCCATATGTTCATCTGTTTTGTTTCTTAAATTCCACATATGAATGAAGTCATATAGTATGTTTATTTTTCTTAGCATAATATACTCTAGCTCCACCCACATCATTGCAAATGGCAAGATTTCCTTCTTTTTGGTGGCTGATTAATATTCCATTGTATGTAAGACTACATCTTCTTTATCCATTCATCAGTTGATGGACATTTGGGCTCTTTCCATAGTTTGGCTATTGTTGATAACGCTGCTTTTATAAACATCAGGGTGCATGTACCCCTTTGAATCTGTATTTTAGTATTCTTTGAGGAAATACCTAGTAGTGCAATTGCTGGGCTCATAGGGTAATTCTATTTTTAACTTTCTGAGGACCCTCCATACTGTTTTCCAGAATGGCTGCACCAGTTTGCATTCCCACGAACAGTGCAAGAGGGTTCCCCTTTGTCCCCATCCTTGTCAACACCTATATTGTAGCCTATTAAATGTGCAATAACATTATGTTAAAGAAACAATGTAATCAATGAATCATGGAACACTACATCAAAAACTAATGATGTACTGTATGGTGACTAACATAACATTAAACAAGGAAACAATGTACATGCTTAAGTTTAGAAATATTTTTTAAATGCTAACCATCATCTGAACTATCAATGAGTCCTAAGTTTTTTGCTGGTGTTGGGGGTGGGGGGCCTATACTACCCAAAGCAATCTACACATACCTCAGTGTTGATGGCTGCTGACTGATCAGGGTGATGGTTGCTAAAGGGTGGGGTGGTTGTGGCAATTTCTCAAAATAAGACAACAATGAAGTCTGATGCATTGACTGACTCTTCCTTTCACAAACAATTTCTCTGCAACATGCAATGCTATTACATAGCATTTTACCCACAGCAGAATTTGTTTCAAAATTGGGAGTCATGCTCTCAAACCCTGCCAGTGCTTTATCAACCACGTTTATGTATTATCTAAATCCTCTGCTGTCCTTTCAACAAACTTTACGGCATCTTCACCAGGAGTGAAGAGGAAAACACCCATCTCAAGAAACCACTTTCTCTGCTCATACATAAGAGGCAACTCCTTATCCAGTAAAGTTCTATCATGAGATTTCAACAACTCAGTCACATCAGGCTTCACTTCTAATTCTAGTTCTCCTGTTATTTCTATCACATCTGCAGTTACTTCCTCTACCGGTCTTGAACCTTCAAATTGTAAAAAACACAGTAACTACAAACTACAAAAAAGCAAAGCACAATAAAACAAGGTATGCCTGTATAGGAAAACTAATACTTCCCAACAAAACTAGCACAAACTCTTTTGGTCTGTAACTTTAAAATTACTTCTATCATCAGCATCATTTGATTTTGCTAGTGTCGAATTCAGAAAAGGTGTTATCTTTTCCTATCAAAAAAAGTCTAGTAAATCTTGTTTTATTATAAGTAAATAGGATTAAAAATAAGGAATATAAATTTTACTTCCTAGATTTAGATACACTAACAAAAGCAGAAATTTTTTGAAAAGGATGAAAAAGATTTTCTATTTGTTTATTTTTATTTAATTATATACTTATGTTTTAATTATCTTCTTTATGA